TGTCCATTTTTTGACTTCGTGCCCGTGGACACTTTTGATCAGGATGTCATAAAGTAAAACATATCAAAATTTCAGCCGATTTGACCGGGAACCAAAACCCATTGGTTTTGTGCGGGGTCCTTTATTAATTATAATCTCGAATACATTTAGAGCACATATATGTTCTAAGCTCGTGTAATATATGATTTGCAAACTTTACTTGTAAATGTATATAAAGCTGCATTTAAAGAGAATGTTATCAGTAATGTTGTAAGTTTTTATCATTCATTACAAACAAGGTTTAAATAACGATAGTAGTGATAATGTGCTTCGCGAAATAGCATTGACATGAATGTAAATGAATATTTAATAATAATAGTATAATCACTCACTTTGCATTTAACAAAAGTTATTATAACGTCAAAAATCTAACATTTGTCTGCTTCTGAATCTATAAGAACAAATTCTGTTAGACTGAAAGCAATAAGCATTTTTTTCATATCAATAGGAAATGGAGCACACAAAAGCAATAAACAAGAATAAAATTATAGTCTTGTATTATAATAATGCTTCAAATTATTTCGTACAAACAATATCCAAATAGTTACAAAGTTTGCATTAATTTTAATTCTGTTAAAAAATTGAAAATAAATTAACAATTGTGATATGGGTAAAATGTTGTTGTAATACCTATATACATATGTATATGTATATATTAATCTACTATTGTAATATAGTAATATTTCTTTTCAAAAGCTGAAATTAATGGAATAATGAAAAGCGTGCAGAATTTATTTAATTTAATATTAATAAGGAAATATTATAATAAATAATAATATATATATTTTTAATTTGTAAATCCACTATATTACATTATATACTAACAAGGGAAGTTTGCGAACCTGAAAATTCAGAAAAATCTGAGACTTAGTGTAAAAGTAGAGTAGTTCATCCGTAGCATGAAACTATTTTTTATTGGTGCTCAAATCCACTTTGAAGGGATGAAACCACCTCTTGAAAAAAATCGGTTTTTTTCTTCCGACGTGAATATCGTCGAAACTATGAGAGATAGAAAAAAATGTTTTAGATCAAAGTTGAATGGCTTGCAGTGAACTTTATAATAGTAGTAAAAAAAAAATTTTTTTAAATTTTTTTTAATGTTTTCCCCACCACTTCACTTTTTTTTTTAAATGTTAAAATTTTTTTGTGACTAAATTAAAGATTATTTTAATACGAATTTAATCATGTGTGATAAAGTTATTTTCCAAAGTATTATTTTCGAGAAATAATTACAAACGGCTCTATGCGCACACCATCCGTACTCGCTTACGTTGCGCGCACCCAGCAATTCTTCACGCAGCACGTTCTGCTCGCATTTTTGCATTTAACAAGGGATAACAATCAAAGGAAATCTATTTCCGCAATATTTTGCGAATGTATAACTATAAATTGTTTTTATCGCGTACCGTTAGACAATGCTTACGAAGCGAAATTTTAATGTCGTAAAGTCAAGTTAAATCGATGAAACTGGGAATCCAAGCTTTCTCGGGTATATTTATATGAACTACAAGACGCGATTATATAAATTTACATACTTATTTACATATTTAAATGCTTTGCAAATATTATCTGCGCAATAGGAAACTTCCGTGATTATGTATAATATACAGGTTATTCTCAGATTATGATAAGTTGTTTACATCGATTTGACTTGATCTTACGGCATTAAAATTTTGCTTCGTAAGCAAATTGTCTTATAGCCGTATATTTTAGCCGGGATATTTTAGAAGGAGATCTGCCGTGCTGGTACGCAAAGTTCGCACGTTATTTTTTAATTTTTATTTTTTTGGTATTAAAAATATGGAACATTTTTAAATGTTTTTCAGGAACGTTAGAACTACGGATAAGTGCTACTTAAACTATTATTGTTTCTAAAATTAACAAAACGTCGTGTTATCTTCACTGACTCATATATGCTCCTATATATATCTTTGTAAAAATAAATTTAATTAAAAAATTAAATTAAGAAAGTTGTAACAATTAATCAGTGTTTGTGTAGCACTAAAAAGCTAAAAGAAATAAAATATACTTACACCGTCTAGCTATCATGATGGGAACGAAAAACTTACCGGCTATGATCAATTATGTACTTAATTACACAAAACCAAAAAGTCTACGCTACACCGATTATTCGATGGAAACTACTATGTTCTTCGTTTTACTGTCCATGAGGCCCGAATACAATGCAAAAATAGAATTGGGAATTTGCTTTGCTCCAATCGCCATTTGGAAAGAAATATCTCCTGTATTCCAATTTATTCAAAGTAAAAAACAAAATATTAAGGTAAGAAAATATCGAAATTTTATTTTAAAAGAAATAAAGAGAAATATATTTTATATATAAGTCCTACATTAATATTATTCTAATAAATTAGGAGTAAATCTTATTAGTAACATTACTTAATTATTAATATATTGATAATTATAATTTGTTACACAAAATTATATCTTAATATAAAATAATTCCAATATGCAAGGTACGTAAATATATACAAGCATAACACTTCTAAATGTGTGTTTGAAGAACTGTCTTAAATCACAAATATAAGTGTGCTGAAATTATCTAGCAAAAATTGAGAAAGTTCTAACGGTTTAAAGTTTTGTACCAATAATCATAGATAATAAAAAGGTAAAAAGAGTATGCAGCATAATGTCATCTAAAAGGGTAAATATATCGATGAAGGGAGGCTGCTCCAATGACCTTGACCTTTATATATGTTCTCAAGGGCATGATCCCAAGTGACCTTCAAGTGGTTTTAACCGTCGTTCGTTATTCGTTAAAAAGTTATTAACAAAATATAT